TGGTTCTTTATATTTTTGAGGTTTATTTTGATTGTCTTGCTGTTTTTGTCTACATTCGGAAATACTATGTCCGTATCGTCGGCAATAATTACACCATTTTTTGAAAGATGGTTTGCCTTTAAAGTTTGGGTTCTTTTCGTAAATATTGAGTATTTCAGTGATTTTTTCAACGAGGTCTGTCTCTGATTCCTGTATATTATTAATATTAGTGGGAGTCGTTTCAATTCTGTTAACGTATTGTAATTTCAGATTTTCCGTTTCTTCTAGTTTCATCGTGATTTCTGCTTGTTCTAATTTGTCTACTAGTTTTCGAAAATCTAAATCGGGTTTGCGAATTGAAGAAGGATGGGATGCTCTCTTTTTTATTGCTATTTTCCTTAATTGTGGTGTTAAGGTCATCATTAAGATTTCTGTCATCTTTGTGTTTTTATAGTCATGTGTATTTAATGAATATGCTTTTCGAACTAGTGTTTCGATTCGTACTGCTATTTGCTTGATGGTTTCGTTTGGTAATCTGCGAATTTCATTACATAAAACTCTTTGTTGTTGTTTGTTTCTTTCGGAGTCAAACATTTTTGAAAATTCCTGTGTAAACCTTTTCCAGTTTGATTTTATTTCTAGAGGTAGTACTGAAAACCATTTTTGGGCTGCGCCATCTAAGGTTGTTTGTATTAACGCTGTGCGTCGATGTATCCAATTTTGATGTAGTGGCGTATTAATTGGTTCAGGTCCAATATTTAAAATCAGGTTTGCTGTTACTGCATTTAAATAATCTTCTACAGAGTATTCAGGGTCTGTTCCTGTGAAAACCATTAAAGGTTTGTTTGATGTTATTGATGATCCACCCATAAGGTATGGATTCATTGTCATTTGTAATGATTCTGCTGCATTTGGCATTTGAGAAAAATTTGAAAGTTGGTTTCTTGTTATTTCATGTTGTTGGAGATAATATGGGAGTGGTATTTCATTTTGCATTTGTGATGGTTGATACGAGTGTGCAGTCATTGGATTTTGTTGTTGAATTGGTTGAAAAGATTGTGTATTAATTAAATTTTGTTGTTGAATTGGTTGTTGATGTTGTGCATCTATTGGTTGTGGAGAAAAATTTCTATGATTTGTACGTGTTTTCTGTATTTCTTGTCTACGATATTCTTGAGTATTTGGTGCAAATATATCTGGTTGTAAGAAATCATCATCTGAGGATAAATAATCCATTTGATAAGATGTCTGTTTTTTATTTTTATTTTGTTGAAAAAATGGGTAATTTTCACTGTGATCCTGTGGAGGATTTGTTTGGAAATTTATTGAATTAGGTTGGGTCATTGGGTTATCCCAATTTCGAGATCTTGTATATTGGTTAAAATTTCTTTGTGGTTGGTTATATGTTTTTGATGGATGTGTATAATTATAATTATGGTCTGCAAAGTTGTTTCTAGTGAATGTTTTGCGTGTTTTTGATGGTATTGTCATGGGTCTGTATGTTTGGTAATCCATATGTGAATATTTAGGGGCAACCGAAGGTTTAACGGTTGATTGTAAGGTTACCTGTGTTTGTGAAGGATTTGTATTTCTTGGTGTTGTTAAATTTGGGCGTATTGGTGAAATACTTTGTTGTGTAGTTGTTGTGTGTACAATTTCTTCATTTATGAAGTGTGATGGTGTCTGGATATCTTGTTGAGTAAGATTCCTAGTTCCATTGAGGTTTTCATTGTGTATGACTGTAGAGTTTAAACTATTATTTTGTGTATCGGGCAAAAATGTATTATAGTTTAATGGTGTTGCATCAATGGTTAATGGTATTACTTTTACATAATCTCTTATGTAAGATATCGTACTTATTGCTTGACTTGAGATTGATTGTGGGAAGCTTATAAATGCGGGATGAGACCATTCGGGGTCCCAAACATAATCTGATTGTTCTGTGATAGCGGTATCATCGTTCGAGTTTTGGGGTCTAAAATTTTTTCTTGCTTGTGCAATTAAATCAATATTGTGTGTGAAATAATCTATTATGAACCATGCCAAAATTTTTTGTAGATCGTGTTTTGTATGTTGTGAAACGTCGTCTTTCGTGAAATTTTCTTTAATGATGTTTAAATAACTAGAGAGTAGTGTGATTTCATGTCGTACTCTTAAATGTTTAGATGTTTCTGTCGGTGAGACATTTGTTATTGGGATTTCGTTTTCTAATATCGAAATATAACTATATATTATTGCGAAAACTTCATTGGTGAATATGGAGTTTGCTCTTTGTGAGTTATGATATTGGATGCTTTTTATATATTCTGAAAAAACTTTTGAAAATTCTAAATCAAGATCGTCTGTTTGAATTGTATATTTTCTATTATTATGGTTTGGTGAGGTGAATTCTATGGAGTAGATTCCATACTGTTGTGTTATGTTGCATATATCTTTTAAGTAGTGGTCTATGATTTGTCTTTTGATTTTTACATCTGGGAACTCTGTTTTACATGGACTGATTCCGGGTTCAAATAAATTTAATAGTAAATTTTTGCAAAATATATGCTGTCCTCTATCGGTGGTTGCATCTACTATAAAAGGAAAGATTTCATCATCATCTGGACTTTCTTCACCTGGGGTGTGCGTTGAGCTCATTTTTTCGTTCGATGACTGTTAATATGTAATTATTAATGTGTCGAATTGGTTGATTCCAATTGTATAAATGTACTGGTTTGTGTTTATACTGCTTTTTTATTCTTCTTTTTCCTCGTTTTGATGAATTTGAAGTTGTTTCTGAGTCAGAAAAATATAATTGATCGTGAAGTGGGTAATTTTTATCTATTGATTCTTTTAGTTTGTAAAGTTCGTCTAAACTGTTGGTTTCTGATTCTGAAAATGCGTTTCGATTTTTTGAAAATCTTTTTCGTGTTATTTGTCTTTGTTTCGTTATTATTTTTCTTTTTAGTGTTTGTCGTTTTGTTCGAATGTATCCAACTGTTTGTGTATGAGGTGTGATTACAAGGTCGTATTTTTTGTTATCTATTTCACAATTGTGTAAAACGATTGTTTGTTTATTTCCTAGGTTTTTAAATGACATAAGGTTTAGGATGACGGATGCAAAAGGTTGTTAAATGATTTCTATTTTCTTAAACTGTTAGTTCTTACGATTTTTTGGTTAGCTTAACCTGGGTCTATTTGTTCAGGGTTGGAGAGAAAAGTATATCGATTCCGAAGAATGATTTTTTACTTTCTCGTGGCTAGTATAAGTTAAGGTGTTAACTTACTTAATCTTACTTAGGGGTAGTGATTGTGTTCAAGGGTTGGAGAATAGTAAATCGATCCACAAGGTTCAGGTATAATTAGAACGCGAGTAGTTCGTTAGATACTATTTTAAACTTACTAAGTCTAAGATTTATCCTGGGTCTGGTAAGAGGGGGGGGTCAAGTGAAGGATGAATAACCGAAGTTCTTCACTGTTTATCCTAATTTGAATGATTTGTTTTGTTTAAAAATTTCTATTAGTCTTGGGTCTTTAGAAAGGGTTGGGTAGTGAATCGACGTTTGAGGTCGTTAGACACTAATTAAGTGGGTGGGGGAGAACAAAGTTGTTCTGTTTGATCCAAGGATAAGCCTTGATGATCAAATTTGAAATTTAATTAAGTAGAAAATGATTTAAGATCCAAGGATAAGCCTTGATGATCTGGTTTTAAAATTAAGTGAATTTAAGTTTTAATAAAATTTTAAATGTGTGTTAAAGGAAAGATTTAGTGTTTTGATGATGTTAGTGGGTTTATGATTGCTGTTATGTTTTAGATGATGGAGCTGGAACAACAGGATGATTTATGATTACTAACCATTTATTGTCATGCTACTAATTTTTATTTTTTATTTTTCAATAAATATTTTTCAAACATGTTTTGTATATTACTGCAGAGTTTTAGGAAAACGATCTTAGATCTTTTTATCAATCGTTATTGTATATTAATAATTTTGTTTAGCGCCTGAAATGATTTTGAAGATTAACTTCAAGGTTTTATGTTTGCAAATGAAAATCTAAATTCATTGCCAGTAGTATTCTAAATATAAAAGTTTGTTCTGGTTTTTGCCTAACTATCATATAGCTATATGGCAAGTTTCTACTTTGTCGTATGTCGTCTCTGGTTCGAGGTCTTCTTCCAATTCCGGGTAGTTCTGTTATGGTTCGGAATATTGGCTCTGATCTATTGAGTCGTAGAGACATTTCGATTAAATTATTGTCGTATAACATTTTTTAAATGTTTTTGTCTAATTTCTAATCTATTTTGGTTAATTCTAAGCTATTAAGGTCTTGTTCGAGACTTATGGTCGCACCAGATGAGTTAGGACCGAGTTGGTTAACTCATAGAGTAATTTCGGATAGGGTACACCGTCTGCTCGTCACGCTATCTTATTTTCGGCCGGATAGATTCGTGCAACTTCTTAGTCTAATACCGATCCTAATCTTACTCTTATACTATCTAGTCTCAGGTTGTTTAACTAGTCTCTGCTAGGCTCAATAGATCTAGGGTATACTGGTTTATTGCGGCTGCTGAAGTGCTCGGGAGAGTCCAACTAATTTCTAAGTTAAATTCAAATCTCTCTGGTGCTGAAATTACAAGTAACTTCAGCACTTACAAATAAGTGGGTTGTTAGTTAGATGGATCATGATTGGTTAATATTAAATACTTTACATTGGTAAAATATCTAATTTATCCAATCATAAAATGTAGTTTAGATCAGGTTCCATATATTTTTGATCGAGTCATTTTGAAAACAATATAAAGCCCACTTTTGCCATTTCTACTTATGTTTGCACAAATGCAACTTCGCAGCTGTGTTGAGCCTTTTTTCTCGAAAAATTACAGTGGTCGAAACTCTTTGTGGTTGCTCAGCAAATTTCTTTGCTTTTCCAAATATTTTTGTCTTGTATTTATATGGCCAACGGGAGCGGTCTTCCAAACTCGTACAGGTTTCTTGTTTTAAAAGGATGTGTTTCAAATTGAGTTATTTTTTGTCTCTCAGATGCTAATTGTGGCTCTGAAGCCTCAAACGTGTTCAGTGGCAACTCATCGGGCCAAGAAATGGCTGAGATACTCTATGCTCCCCCTGATGTCTTCACACTTGTCCTCAAGGACGACACAGGAGCTGAAAAGTGTTGGGAGAGACAGGTAAGCTGATTAACTGTCTGACATGTCATTGAAAAGTTGATTTTAAGCAGAACATATGGTACATCTTAGCAAAAAGTGGTAGAACTTCACCTAACTGCATATATAGAAAAAAAACCGAAAACTATTGCACTAATTGATGTGCCCTTAACGCAGCCTATAAATTAGCAGTATCCGATGAGCTTGCGGTGTATATGTCGGAATTGAAGAGCGGTTATAACTAGGTTAAAACAGGACTCGCTCGCACATCTTTAAATAAAAGCGCTTCAAAAACTCAAATTAATCATTGGTTATAACTGTATATGGATGCATAACCTTGGTCTTTTCTATGAATGGATCCTGTAGATATCGGAACGATCATATTAAAATTGAAGGCCAAATCCGTGGCTGACATCTTTGAAAAATTATCGGTAGAAAATCAAATGGCAGGGGTCTAGGACTAAACCCCCCACGATCAAATCCCCCAGGACAAAATCCCACCGGATAACATCCCACAGGACAAAAGCCCCCAGTTTTTAATTTAAAATCCCGCACACTCGAACGGATTAAAAAAGAGACACTAAAAACTGATTTAATTGAAGAAAGATAATTAACAGAAAACAAATAGATGGATTATAAATTAAAAGCTAAAAGGACAAGTTGACAGCTATGGCTTTAAGATAATCCAATTCTTTGTAGTTAACGGCAGAGCATATCATTCTCTTCACGCTTCCAAAATTACCCTAATACTTTTTGTGAATTTTCTTGCCGAGCTGCATTTGAAAAGAACTAAAAGTTTGCAATGACTGCTGTCTCTGAATGGCCTCAATGAACTTCCGTATGGCACGCTTTGACATTTGCAGCATGAATTCGAATAAACGATGAATCCTTCAAGAGCATTTTTTGTCCTGGGGAGGTCGTCAATGGTCTAGAAGTAAACATTCGACATATCCATGTCGAACGCGATTTCCGTCTCGTCGAGTTTTGCGTTTCTTTGCCTACAAAAGTGTCCTCAGGACTTTTGCATCTTTCTAGTATTTGTTTATACCAGGCTTCTACGTGTAAGGGTGAGGCAAATGCAAAATCAGCTAAAAGACGTATAGATAGGTTAAATTCCTTGTCCTCGCGATATTGTACAGCATAACCAAATTCGAGTATCTTTCTGTAAATGGCTTGCAAGAAGTGAAAGACACAACCTTGCTGTTAAGTGCAAATTTTTTTTTAAAAAAGCAAAAAATCTAACTTTCGTTAGGGTAGTTGAGAGAAATCAGCATGGGAACAAAATCAAGAGCAAAACTTGCCAGCTGTTGATAGATAAAAAAACGTTGTGTCGCTGTTGGAAGCAGCTGAGACAGGCCGCGCTAGAGCCAAGCCGTTGATCAAAATTCACGCCCTTGAAGGAATTTTTTGGAAAACACATAGTCCACAATTATCCAAAATCAGTTGCTTAAAACCTTCTGAAATTTTTGACGCCAAAAAATTAAAATCCACATATGTGACTGATGTGGTTAAGATCATTATTCAGTTAAGAAAAAGCTTGGTTAAAACTAAAGCTTAGTGAAGCAAAAACTTGGTTAAACAAGACAAAGATTATTAAAATACCAATTTTCCCAAACTTAATTGGAACTCAACATTTTTTGCCAAAGTATTTTAAGTAGTTCGAAAAATTCGTGTAAAAAAAATCGTGCAACAGATAAACCAGATGTAGTCAGAGTTGAAGCGTAAAGTTTATGCTGAAATCATCAATTTTGCTGAGTTTATTGATCCGATAGAAAACCGGTTAGCTCGTATTTTTTTTAAATTTAAACTGACACTCGTTTTATCTAAAATTGGCGTGTGTTCCTCATGTACTAAAACGTAATATTCTTGTTGCGTTGATGAGACGCTTCTTGTTAAATGTTGGTCAAAAAATGATTTCTTCAGTTTAAAAATGTTGAAAAAGTCTTGGGAACAGCATGTATGAGCAGTTGATCAGCGCTGAAACGCAAAAAAAAACTTAAGAAGTTCGATTTTCAAAATAAATTGTAGGCAATTGTTTTTTGTCATTTTTTTTTGCTCAACGGGCGTCAATACAAGTTAGTTTGAATTGATTGGGTTAGTTGATTATGAAACTCTTTCATATGTGGCTAATAGACTTTTTCCGGATCAAATTAAACCTAACTTGAAAATAAAATTTTTGTTTTTGGACTAAACTTAGTAATTGCAATACGCCTGCAACTACTCAAAAATTTAATTTCAATGCATAAATAACGCTGAGAGTTAGCGTTTTCTTTATTTTCCTCCAAAGGAACTTATTTTTTAATACTAATTTTTGAACTCATTCATAATTGCGTTACTTTTTTTGGCTCATTGCCATGCTATATTTTTAATGTGTTGCAAGTGATGTAAAGCTTTGATTCTCCTCTGTTTTTAGATAGTGATTTTTCGAATTAAGTTATGATCAAGACGAAAATTTAAAAAATCAGGAGGGATATTTAATTTTAGCAAAATCGAAACAAGACTGCTCGCATCAGGGTGAACCCTGAATAATCAGACTGCCTTTTAAGGTCTATGGAGCAGTAATAACAGGAAAAAAAATAAAATGAAGTTTTTTTGTTAAAATTGAGGTTTTTTTCTGAAAATCATCCCCCACACACTCCACATAAAGTACAAAGTGATAGATTTTGCTCCTAGTAAAAAATCAGTTAGCACAAATAAGCTTCCTTCTACCAATTTGGAACTATTGAACTATTGATTAAGACGGATTAAACCTCCGCTTACGTTAAAAGCGCGAAATATATCGCTGGTTAATTGTCTCAAATTGGCCAATATGGCAATCTTTAAACTCCCATAACTTTACGAAAAAAAGGCTCACAATTAAAATATATTTTCAAATTTAAGCTCAAGACAACAATACTTTTTGAATGATGTAAAACAAATTCCGTCAATATGGATAGTTAAAAAGCCGAAGTTTGTCCGAAGGAAAAAATACCACCCCGAGCACAATCATTACATTACTTTCGTTACGAAAGTCGGAACAATGAAAAAATCCGCTTTTAAATTAGTTAAATTAGTCAACATCATTGATTGCTAAGTAGTGATCACTCAGTATTTCGGCACAGCACTCAATTTTATGTAATATCTGCCTGATTTAGACCCTAACAAACACGTAGAATGTTTAGCTCATTTCGGGTCGAGGTCCGCGACTCATATTGCGATTGAATTTGGTCGACGAAATGGAGTTTGAGCAGAGATTTGAACCAGAGGTTTGAGCAAACTTGCAATATTGCTAAAACTGGGTTGCACAAAAATGCAACATGGGTTGCGCAAAGTCAAAACATGGATCGCTCAAAGTCGCAACATGGGTCGCGCAAAGTCGCAATTCGAGTTGCGCAAAGTTGCAACGTAGCTAAAGGGGTCGGCTAACTTGCAACATGGGTCGCCCAAAGGCGCAATTCAAGTTGCGGAAAGCCGCAACATAGCTAAAAATGGGTCGCGCAAGTTCACAACTTAGCTAAAAATGGGTAACCCAAAGTCGCAACATGGGTCGTGCAAAATCACAACATGGATCGCTTAAAGTCGCAACATGTGTCGCACAAACTTGCAACCTGCGCCACCCAAAGTTGGAGCATAGCTAAGATGGGTCGGGCTAAGTTGCAACATGTGTCGCTCAAAGGCGCAATTCGAGTTGCGCATAGCCGCGATATAGCTAAAATGGGTCGCGCAAAGTCGCAACATGGGTTGCGCAAAGTCGCATCATTGGTCGCGCAAAGTCGCAATATGGGTTGCGCAAATTCGCATCATGGGTCGCACAAAGTCTCAACTTAACTCAAATTGGGTCTCCTAAATTCACAACGTGAGTCTCGCAAAGTCGAAACATGAGTCGCACCAAGTCGGAACACGGCTCAAAACATATCTCGTGCAATTTCGCATCATGAGTCGTGCAAATTCGAAACATGTGTCGATTAAAAAGATAATGTCACGCGTTCTCTTTGTTTGGTTGTAAAAAAAATCAACACTGTATATCTTTTTTCAGGGTAGTCTGACAGAGAGTAATTGGCTTCAAGATGGTCCATCCTGCTTAGATCCAAATGCACAAAAACACACTCTGTGTCTCGTGGATGCAACTTCAATTCAGAGAACCACAGTCCAGGTCAGTATTAATGCCCTCCCCCTGCTTGATATTTCCTCAATTACTGACCCATCCAGGTCAGTATCTTTGCCTTCCCCTCACCCTGATAGATTACAAACACAACCAACCGAAATACAGAACGGTCCTAAATGGAAACGCTGAAAGGTTTTGTATTTTATAACTGAATATATGACTTACATGGGTACTGCAGAGAAGCCCTGTGTGTGGACAGGAGATCGAATCCTTCCGGAGGGAGGGACGTCCGCTTCTGGCTGTCCGTGAAAAAAAATTTGAAATTTTCAGATGTTTCAAAAAGTTTCAGATGCCTCGAAAATACAGGCCTTTTAAAGTTCGCCAGATACTGAATCAAAAATCCTAAGGACCAACTTGTTTTTTTTTGGTTTCGACAATGGTGAAAATTATTGTTGAACTTTTTTGTATGGATAAAGTAATTTACACATTACGCAAACTTAAAGCATGAACTTATGAACTTAAACAATTACAGAGCAAAAACATTAAGTAGGGTAAAATAGTTACAAAAACTGCTTGCTTACTTTTTTAAAAAGAAAATAAATATCACTCATTACTTTTATTAAAAACTGTTCTCAAATCAACCCAAATTGAAAAGTTTATCGATTTCCGGTCTTTACAATTTTAATGCAAGTTTTGGTTTTTTTTAAAAAAATATTCCAGTATCTCAAAAAAACTATCTGAGCGTTTCATTCAACAGCCAATTCATAAAAAAAATTCAAGTAACAACAACACCAATATCTGTCAGTTTGATTCTGCCTGAATAAAAAAATATTTTACGTGGTTCCCTTCGATAATATATTCAATTGCCTGCGTATCTTCCCATGTTTACGCTTTATCAAATGTCTCATGTTCGATTTTTCAGAAACGAATGAAGATTTGCATGTTTAAGATGTATCGTCTATTGCAGTGTATCAAATATTTCAGCCCAAGGTAAGGTAAGATAGGACAGCTAAAGGCAAAGCGAGGAGCGGCAGGGTAGGGCAGCTCAGCTCAAGGAAGTGTAGGACAGGGCAGACCAGGTTGAAGAGAGGCAAGGTAGAGTAGGGGAGCGCAAGGCAGCACAGGGCGAATAGGGGCAAGACAGGGCAACACACAGCAGGGCAGGGCCAAGAGAAGCAAGGTAGGGTAGGGCAGCGCAAGGCCGGGCAGACCAGTGTAAAGCCACGCAGGCAGGGTGGGGAGGGGCACGGCAGACTGAAGCGGATCAAGGCAGGATAGAACAGTTTACGGGAAGGCCAGGTAGCGTAAAGCCAGGCAGAGCAAGGCGGGAGAGTCAGGGCAGCTCAGGGCGAGGAGGTGAGATGCAGGGTAGGGCAGCGCGAGGCAAATCAAGACAGTACAAGACAGGACAGTGCGATGCAAGGCTGAGAAAAGAGGGACAGAGCAGCAGAAAACAAGACCGAGCAAGGCTGCACAAGTTCAGTAACGAGGGGACGGTCAAGGCAGGATCACGCAATTCAGGGTGAGATGAGATCGAACAAACCATTTATCATACATCCGGCTAGCCATTCAATCAGGTATCTATTCGTCCAGTAAACTACCCATCATCCATCAAGCCATCCATTCATCAAACCAGTTTTTTTTAGCTCTCCAACCCTCCATCTAGCCAAGCATCTAAACAACCATCAAATTACCCGTTTTTCCATCCATCATTCAATTCTTCAATTCTTTTTGTTCTTTCAACTATCCATCGAGCCATCTCTTCATTCATTAATCCATCAATCTATCTAGCCATCTATACAACCAATCTGCCAACTTGCAATCCATCCACCAAACCATGTAGCCATCTATAATACCGTTCATCTAGCCTCCCATCTATGCAACTATCCGTCATCCGTTCTTCCAGCAATTCATCCATCGATCAAGTCATTTATCTAGTCATGCATCATATCATGCGTTTAACCAATCAGCCAGCAAAAGATCAAGCCATCTATCCAGCCCAGGTACTCCATCTATTTATAATCATCAATCCCTTTATTATCTATTCAGTCATCCGTCTGTTTAGGTACCCAGTTTCCATTCATCCAGTCATCTAGCTATCCATCCATCCATCAAGCCGTCAATCCAATCACCCAACCATTAAATAGTCCACCCATCGGGCCATCTATTCATCCAGCAACCTATCCATCAAATCATCATCCGTTCATCAATTCCTCCAACCGTCATTTCAACCAGCCAGCAATGCATCAAGCCGACCTCTAAGTCATCCAACCATCCGTTCCTTAAATCATCGACGCAGTCACTCGTCCAACCACTTGTCCATCCATCCATCCATCCATCTATCCATTAAGCCATCTATCTAGCCATACATCATCCTTCCGTCTATCCATCTAACTAGCAATTCATCTACTCATCTACCAATCCAACCAGCCTGCTTTCTAAACATCTAACTATTTTCAAATCTTGCGAGCAAACGAAGCATTCATTCATCCTTCCATTCATCGTTCATCAACCCAACCATCATGGCCTTGTCATTCAAGCATCCATCAATCTATCCAGCCATCCGTGTATTCAGCTATCCATCAAACCAACCAACCAATTATTCAGTCTCTCCAGCAATACATTCATGGACCCATTCGGCGATCCAATCGTCAATTTAATCAGTTATATATTCATTTTCCCGTCTAGCCATCCATCGTTCCATCAAGTCATTAATACAGCCATCGCTCTATCTAACCTTCAGTTTTTCGATTTATCCATCCATTAATCCATTTTTCCAGTCGTCCATCTATGGGTCCATCCATTGATTCAACTATCCATTCAGCCAGCCATCTCTCCATATGTCAGTCAACCTTCCATGCATCCATCCAGCCAGTGCTCCCCTCCATCATCTATCAATATATCCATCCATCGATACAACCACTAATTCAGCCGTCTGAGTTTTGTGATGTTACCTTGTTTTGTTTGTCCCAGAACTTTTTTCCTGTAAAACAAATGCTGTTTTTTTCAGAAGCAGCTTTAATTTCATGCGGCTGATAGTTTGGTTGAAAGCATTGTCCTAGAGTTTGCTTATACAGAATCGCTATAAGACTTGTGCTAACATCGTCGGTGATTCTAACGACTTCAAAAGACTGCATAACTTTTTGCGGTTGTTGCAAAGCATTGACAAAGGCGCAATAGTTTGACGCAATAAAAGCAAATTCTGCTTCAAATTTAGGCCGGTAATTCTAGATAACGGAGAAAACAACTGCAACATGGTGTGTGCCACCACTTTCACAGTCAATTTAAGAACCATTTTGGCAGCAAATTTGGCAAAATTTTTTTTCGTGCTTGAAATAAACATATCGGCAATTGAGAACTCTTTATGGGCACTATTCGCTAAGTTGTGCAGAGTTTGATTGAAGCACGTCAGTAGTATTGTATCGTGTCCCGGATCCTAAGGGGGGGGGGGTCCTTTCTAAGGGGGGGGGGGGGGTCCTCACGTAAAGCAAAATCCTAGGAAAGGGGTCCTTAATTTTTTGGAGGACCCCTATCCTAGGATTTGGTAAACGAAAGAAATTTTCCGCCCAAAAAGCAGAAGACCCCCTACTTAGGATCTTGCTAAGTTTAGCTTAACAACAAGGGACACGATACAAAATTCTTTCTAATTCCAATTTTTGGGGTCCTAATTATTGGTCCTGGTTAATGATATGAGTCATATTAATTGTTATATTTGTTTCGGGCAAATGAACTTTCGACCTAGTTCAAATTTGTTAGTGAACGGTGAATTGACTTTTATGGTATATAATGAAAATGCGCCGGCCAATTTGGCAGCGTAGCTTAACTGTTGGCAGCAGTAAACTAATTCCTTAACTTGACCTAAATTTTATGGTGAAAAGGCAGTAAAATGAAATTACTCTCAAAAGGCGGCGGCCGTTTCTGGGCAAAATATACCAAATGATAAAGTTGTCAAATTTTGAAATAAGAAAAATGAAATTAGAGGGAACTTGGTGTACTGAAGATATTGATAATGGACATTTACAATTAAGAGTGTTTTCAACCGCAGAAAAAAAACTCATTTTTCAAATTATGTAATGAACGCTACGTCGTCTTCCTCGAAAGGGCAACGGAAATTTCAAAGAAGGAATACGAGTTGTTTTTCAAAGAACACTTTTATTTGAGTGAGCTTCAACAAATCTCTTGGTGCATTTCTACAAAACAAAAGTATGGTACTGTGAGCGATTTGAATATTGCTGATTATGAAAACGTTTTCGACTATTCGTTTGACTTTAACTCATTATGGGTTGATAAAGACTTGGAGAGAAAAATCCGTCTATGTTTCAACAAGCTATCAAAATACAAAAAACTTCCGGTGGTTTATTTAATTATTTACCACCGTTATCTTAATGAGTCTAAATGGTATTTGCAAGGTCACTTTTATTTCCACTGTCTTGAAATTCAGCAGGTTGGAGAGGTGTTGGAAAAAATAAATAATGAAATTGCAAAAAAGCAGAGTAACTCCTATTGATTTGAAAATGATTCACGAAATTTATACGTCTTTGAAACAAACTTATCCTGATAATTCTAACCGACGCAACTATTTTCTAGCTGCATGTTCTCTGTTTTTTGTTAGTTCTGATAACCTTAACTACGACATTTTAATTAAGTTGAGACCTTATGGTGGCTTGATTGGTATTGATAACTCTTCCTTGGACAAGTATTTGAAAAATTCCAAAATTTTACGATTGCACGCTGTTTTGCACGATGCGGCCGGATTTATGCACGAATTTTATCAACAGGGTTCCACGTACTGTTACATGTTGCCCTGGAACTGTAACAACAGCTTATTGGGACATTTGAGTGGAATAGCGTTCTGCCTTTTCATTAAGTTGAAAAAACCAGAAGTTTATCATTTACTAGAATGCTAGGCGAGAGATCAGTTGTGCTTGACGTTGAAGGCTTTCGTTACAAGAAAAACGCCTTTGTGGTTAAAGAATTAGCAATAATAACTTCAGACTACAGCGATCGACTCATTTTCCTACCTCCAGTGAATTTCAATATACTACCAA